ACAATTGCTAGCCTGAATGCCATCTCTGACATCTTGGTTATATCTGCATCCATTTGTAAATCTGCAGCATAAGTCATAATCTCTGAGTCTTTCCTATTTTGGGAGTTCCTCCTCCTAGTCATTCTGTTGATGGGTGTTTGAGGGAATGTATAGAGTCCAAATTATTGACCACAGCCCAAGCAAGGTGCACCTGTTTTATAGGGATCTTAGGGTTGCTGGCCTCTTGTTTTCCTAGCCTATCTTCTGGGGGAGGGGCCTGCTGCGCCATTACTCAGGCAATCCTGTTTGGGCAGAGTTGCCCTGCCCCCTGTGGCAGGGGATGGGCTCAGTGAAAATCGGCTTTGGGGGCTTTTGTTCTCTGGTGGCTTTCCCTGGCAGCTCTCCATGTCTCTTCCGAGAGTCAGAGTAGAAGAGACCATTTTCAACCCTCTGCCTCAGAGCAGAGATTGCAGTCTGTTCTTCAGTGAGCTCTCCAGGCCACACTATTCTCCGTTTCTGTCTGTGCTGCTATGAACTGCAGTGTCCTGGGTTGTGTGCCCCTCAGCAGCACTCCCAGTCCTTGCTTCCAGGTCGGGGCTCGCCTCTGCCCTTTGTGCTTCTAAAACCACCAGCCACCCCCAGTTCACACACATGGCCCCACTCCGGGTTTCCATCCAGGGGGCCGCCCTAAAGTCCTTTCCCCATCGCTACCAGTCTGCGAGTCTGTGCCCAGTCCCCAGTGTGGGAGGCTGTCGCTCACTGGTGGTGTAGGATCCCGACAGCTCAGCTCCCTCCCCCTTCCATTTATCCTCTGATATCTGCCCATGGAATCATGGCTCCCCACTTTGTACCTCAAAATAAACCACATGAGATATTCTGTTTGTAGAGATCCAGATCTATCTTCTTACATCTCAGGCTGATTTCATGGGTGTTCAGAGTGGTCTGGTAGATATCCAGCTCAATTCCAGGGACTGGTTGGAATAGGGACCCCTACTCCTCCACCATTTTTTCTGCCCTCTCTCTAGGTTTTTCTAATATCAACCTTTATCTCCTCTAGTTTTTGACCTAGAAGGCTAGGATCTTTCTGTCTTTACCACATGTCCTTCAAGTCATGCTGTGTTTATTCGTGTTTTTAAATGGTATGCTATTGGGTACTTTTGAAATCAGAATAGCATCATTTACATAATACTTTTTGTTCCATAAATGGGGAAAAGCATTTAACAAATATTCTTAACCAAGTATCTTACTTTAAAAACCATTTCTTCTTCAGACTGAAGCTATAAAATTGGAAACAGCAAATAGAATTTTAAAGAAGAAAATGCATGTAAGTTTTTGTGAATCAATGTTTTTCAATAGAAATATTTCCTTTAGTGATGTGTGCTTCTTGTACCATGTCCTAAGCAAAATAAGAATATATGCATTATCTTTCTAAATGATAACTTTCTGTAATGCTGAGAATATCTCACTATGCAGACATTAGCTTAAAACTGGACAGGTGTAAGCTAATGTATTAATGAAAAAAATAAACATCCTTTTTTAAAGTCGAATATGCCAAGCAGAACTGACCATTTCTGTAACCCTTGCACATGTAACAATAGGTTGTAATGAGTTTATTTGGTAACAAGAGATATAATGAACTGGTTCCTCTAATGACTTTCAGGATACCCTTCCAAAATACATACTAACAATTTGCTGCTTAACAGACTGTAATTCTGTTTCAATTAGATATGTATATGCCTCTGTATTATATACAGTATACATTAGTATGTTATACCTGATTCTAGAAGTAGTATTCCATTTAGACTCAATGTTATCATCATATAAGATCAGTATCATGCCATTATACATGACCAAAGGATTTTGATTCTTGGTAGGTTATTGAAAACCAGGTGAAGCAGACCATGGAGAAGAATAATATGAGTGAGGAAGAGCAGCAGTAAGTATTGATGACATGATAAAAAAGTGGGACAATCTCATGCTATTCTCAAAACCGTCCACTCAAATCTGCATTAGACAAGACCGTGCTTCTGAAATGTTTATATTCACAAGAGTGTTAACTTTAAATATACATGTTACATCCTTTCCTGTGCTCAACAATGCTGAGCCCAAGATTTAAATCTCAATCACTATATATTACTTAGCAATGTAGAAATAAATTCTTTGGAAAGAACTGAAGAATTGAGGGTAAATTCTCACGGGCAGAGATCAGCAAGGTGGGGAGGCAGGTGACTGTGGTGGCTTTCTTTTCTCAAATTATATGGCTTTAGTGATATTAAATTTTTGAAGAACCCTGTACATGTATTACTCTGATAATTTTAATTTAAAAATGAAATGGCTGATTTATATTATCAATTACATAAATTTAGCTTTATATAGTTAATTTTCTTAGAACTGGTACTACAGTTCAAATTTTAGGATTTGATAAGGCTGGGAGCTACAGAAAACCATTGCTGGTTTAAGTATGGAAAGTGCTAACTTGTAACAACAGTAAAAAGACATTTAGTTGTAGGTAGCCTTGGTTCAATAATAATATCAAGGAACCAATGTTCTTCTATCTTTCTTCTCTGTTTTCCTTGAGTATGGTTTTCCTCCTGGAGGCCTCAGTATGACTATCTTCAGGCATGGGTCCGCATCCCATAGAGGAATAATGGGGGAAGGGGAGGACAAAAGGCAAAGAGCTTCTCATCAGGAGGTTTTTCTGTTTTATTTAGAAGGCAAAGCGCTTCCAGGGACACCCATATCTCATTGCCAAGCACCATGTCCCAAGACCATCCTTAGCCACAAAGGAGTCAAGGAAATAGCACACTCTACTTCCCAGCTCACATGGTAGAGAAAGTCATGGGAGAAAGGTGGTAGAATGGTTGCTGAGTGAACCACACAGGTGGATTATATTATGTTGGGTGTCCTCAAAGAAAAGAATATAGAATTACAAATACAAAATTGGGAAGGCTCCTTCCATAGTTTTGGCAATGAGAGTGAATGGACCTAAAGTTTAAACATCATTATCTTCAAAGTAAATCTACCTCTGCTGCCACACTGTACTTGGTCTGGAAAATACTCCAGGGGATTGTGCCCATATACAGGGAGAATCTTTGCTACATTCAAGGCCAAAATGCTACAAAAATCCTTTAAAATGGAAGTGGAAGATTACAAAGTCTCACTTTGTGTTTTTGAGTAAATATGTCCTAAAATAAATACTTGTTTTAAAATTTTCTCTTATGCTTAAGGCACTTTTGTCTAATCTATTGTGTTCATTTGTTGTGTTTAAGGAACCTTTGGGATTTTATTAAAGAATTTGTAAACTTAAAGGAAACAGACCATAACTCAAGTGATTGGAAAATGACCTATGAAAATTCATAGCCACCATGTGCATAGCACGAATGTTTGCAGATGTATAAATTAATGAAGATACATCTCATTTTGTCAGTTTTAATCTCTAATAAAGTTAACGTAGTATATATATCCTACTCAAGATATTGGAATAAATACATGTATGCATGTGATTAGTTTTACTTTTGTATACATATTCATAACAATAGTAGTTCTTAGGGTATTTTCTGCTTTCCTTCCATAATTTTCTCCAAGGAAAAATACTTTCAGTTATTTGATAGGAATAAGAAATTCAGCACTGCTACAATACAGATCAAATATGTTTCTTATTTGCCAATGCAAGTTTATATATAAACATTTAATAAAAATCATAGAATTCACATTCACATAACTAAATAATCTTTACTGATTGTAAGTGATGCAGTGCTCTGAAACGTTATAGCTCTGGCCTGGTGCTTTGCAACACATGTGTCTTGACAGATTGTGATCTTCATGACAACATTGTAACTTGGATTTTTTAATGCCCACTTTGCCTATAATCTGGTCTGAGCACTTAGAGTAAATACAAGTCCAATTTCTTTGGACATCCATATACGGGGCTATGGTAAGGATCAAAGGTAAGGGTGAAGTACACGAGGGATTTGATCCTAACCTGGGAGAGTACAGTTTGAGGTCAGGGAGAGAGAGAGAGAGAGATGAGCAGGGTTTGCTTCCTATGGACCAGGGGCCCAATGTCAGGGTGGCGTGTTCATCACAGCTCTGTTTAAATTCAATAGCTCTCTCTGGGGAATGATTCATTCTGCTTTTAGAGATAAAATGGTTGCAGCTGAAACTGCAAATGTTCACCATATATAGAAATAAATTGGGCTTTATTAATGTTTGTTGAATTCTCAATGTTCAAGTTGCCTTCTCTTGGTTATTTATGTTCACTAGAATCTTATTAAGTAGGCACCATTATTCCCCATTATATGGGGGAGAGAATGAAAATGTGAAGGGGTGAATTGATTTGTTTAAACTACACTGTGAAAAATAGAGCAGGAATCCAGTCCCAGATTTAGTTTGCTCAATTCCTAAACTTTTACCACTGCATTATGCTGTGTCATTTATATATATCACTGGTCAAGATATAGGGAAACACATTTATACATCGTCAGTGACATAAAGACCATTAGAAGTAAGAAGAAACAGACCAACAATCAAAGCTGAATTTACTTGCTTGCCAAGCAAGGGACAGCCATTCACTCAAGAGGCAAGATTCAGGGCTGATCCAATTAGAAAGTAGAGGAGGCTGGATATAGAGGCAGAATGGTGTGCTGTTTTGTTTAAGAGGACTTTAGACATTAAGGACTGAGTGGATTTGCTGGGGAGGGGGATGGGGACTGGAAGGTCCTTTTGTTGTTTGGTCTTTATTCTGGCTATCACAAAAGCACTGTTTTTGAAGAGATATGACATGGGTTGTAATCAAACCTTGTCAAGATCAAACTCTTGTAGCAGGCACTTTGTTATGTGAATTCTTTGGACTGATAAATTTTTCATTTAAAAGCAATATAAGTAATCCTACCACTCATTCATGTATTCAACATTCATTAGATCCACATTCAGGTACATTTCAGACAGTCACTACTTGCTGGAAGTATGGAATGGAGACATGGCCCCAATCCTCAAGGAGTTGATAGCTTGTTGTACAGACTTGTGAAAAGAATACCAACAACAAAAAAGAAAGCCTGATAAAACTAAAGGCATACAAGGATGTGGGTAAGCACACTCTTACCCACTGCCAGAGCAAGTGTAAATTGACACGAACTGTTTGGGATGTAACTTGACAACAAGCTCACCAAATACCTGTGCGTTCCCAGAATCTTGCAGCCCTGCTGGCCATGACGGCCATGGAACTTGTTTGAGCCAGTGCGGGATAGTTGTGATAACACATGACAAGAAGGGTGAACTCTGGAAAGATCAACTTATTTGTAAAAAGAATTAAAAGGGAATACAGAGAATCAGAAATGTGACTTCTCAGTGTGGAAAAAGCTGACTGATTTCAGTTTACAGATTCAAGAGATGAGAATAAAATCTACAACCAGATTATATGTCTGAGAGTAAAGACTACATTACAAGTATGGCCTTTTTACCAAAGCCCATAGCCTCCTGTCTGAATGGACAGTTAGGGATGAGCCATGAGGAGGAGGAAGGAAAGAGATCTGAGAGCAACACTAAGCAAACCATGGGCACATGGAACTGAATGGAAGCAAATGGATTGGAGGTGCACTGAGTTTTTGAGGGAGTTTGACTCTTACAGGCAATCAGAAACCCAAGGTAAGTTAAGTCCATTGCTGCTCAAAAGCTTTAACAGCCCTGAGTCCCCTGAACATCCTGAAGAGGAACAGGAAGGAAGCTGAGGAAACCGTATATCCCCCAAGAGAACATATTCCCCAAAGCCCACTTTGGATGTGCCCGAGGAGGACAAAGGAGGGCCAAACAAGTGACAAGGACAATGAACGAGAGCTCCGTCCCAGTGCAGTCAGACTTCACCCTGCTCCTTGGTAGGGGACCCTTACAAGGTCTTCTCTGTAGGACTTCAGAAATGCTACAGACCATGGACTGCTGTGTGTGTGTCCTCACCCTTTTATGCATATCTATTTGTAAATTTATTGCAATTATCCTGATTCACAACAGATGGAGAAAGCACTGTGTATCCTTTAGGGATCTTGGACTTTGAGCTGGATGTAGTGACTGGGTGGGATTTGTCTCCCTTGGAGAGGATGGCACTGTGTTTTATGCAAAGAAATAAGTAAGCGAAGAGATTTGTTAATCAGAATGTGGACCGTGAAAGAGATATTTCTACTGTAGAAGTTGTAAAGACTTGTATTCCTTCCAGGTAGTGAGGCTACTGGGACCCTGGATCTTCTGTGTACCTAGTTCTTAAGCAGAGCCCACCATTTTGGATATAGAACATGAGTAAGACATAAACTTTGTCAGATCAGGCCAGTGGATATTAGGGTTAACTTGTTATTGCACCATTACCTAGTCTATATTGATTTACCCTGTTTACCCTAAAGAAACTCATGTACATGTACCTAAGGAGATTTCTCTTTCTCATTTTCTCTTGTTCTCTATCTTGTCCTGTCTATCTGTCTTTTATCTATCTATCTATCTATCCATCTATCTATCTAAATATTTAATCTATTGATGTTCACCAATTAACTCTGATATTAGAAAATAGAAAAAGCGTCATGGTTTCTGAGTAGGGTAGTAATGGTCCTGGTTGTCATCTTTAAATGGAACACTATAAAGCAGATAAAAGAAATAGACCTAAATACATCAACATGAGTAAATATCAAAAACAATGTTGGGTGAAAAAAGTAAGTTTCAGTAGAGTACATACATGGTAGTATTAATATAAATAAAAGAGGAGGGGGAAAAGAGAACGCTCAAGGTGGCTTTAATATTTTAGTAGTATGTATAGTGTTTTATTTCTTTGAAAAAATATGAAGCAAATATTCTGAAATCTTAATGTATGTTTAATATAGATAGTGGATTCGTAAGTATTAGTTATATTATTTTCTATAAATTTCTATAAGTATTATGCTAACACTTGTTAAACACTTATCATATACTAGACACTATTCTATACATTTAACCTATATTCATTTAGTTCCCATGTGATCCTATATGGTAGGTTACAGTTATTATTTTATAGAGTAGGAAATTGCTTATTTAAAATTTTTAAATTTTAAATTTAAATTCCAATTTAAATATATTTTAAGAAGTAATGAATGCAATAATTTATCATGAGGCTATGGTGTAAGTATTTGTAAATGGTATAAGGAAAGTACAAAGATGAGCTCACAGAACTCAGTACTATCCATGGGGGAGAAGGGACAGAAAGGCCAAATAAACTCTGTGAGTTATTGACCATTAAGTTCCCATGAGGGGAGTGGTGATTCAAGGTAGAGGGAACCATGTGAGTGAAAGAGCAAGTAGACTGGCATTGGTGCAGAGATTGGTGGTGGTGGTGATCATGATGATGATGATGGTGGTCATGATGATGGTGGTGATAGTGATGGGGATGATGATGATGATGGTGATGAAGGTGGCGTTGGGGTGTGTGTGTGTGTGTGTGTGTATGTATGTGTCTTCAGACCCTGGCGGCTGGTGGTGCTGGAAAATGAAAGGATGGAGTCAAATAAGGTAGCTCATTGAAGGTCTTTAAGCAATAAAGGATCACATTTTATATTTAGAAAGATCACTCTAACATCATTGTTAAAAAAATTAAGTATTGTAGGAGGTAGGACTGGAGAGAAGGATACCAAGTAGGAGACTACTATGGGAGTCTGGGCTGGAGGCGATGTGAGTTTTAGCTGCAGGGGAGGCAGTAGGGAGGCAAGAAGGACCAAATGCAAGGGGGTCTAAGTCAGTGTGGGGCTGGATGAAGATAATAAGGGATGCAGGAGTCCAGGCCGACTCCCCGGTTTCTGGCTTGGATGACAACTCAGATGGTGCAGTCATTCAGTAAAATAGGGAACACAGAAGAGTAGATTTTGAGGGTAAAGATTAGTTCATTTTGGGATATTCCAAAGCTTAACGTCTCTAGGGAATTACATCCATAGGGAGGTGTTGGGTGGAGTTGAGTCTGTGGACCAGGTACTAGGAAGAGACAGACATTTGGGAGTCAGCAGCAGCGGGTGGAAGTAGAAAAAGGAGGAGGAGGGAAATCACCAAGGAGGGTCTCTAGAGGGAAGAGGAGGCAAACAGGGCTAGAACCCAGAGCCCTGAGCCCTGAGGGTCAGGAACAAGGGAGGGGGAATGAGTGAGAAGAGGACAGGGCTCCCATGCCCGTGTGTGCAGGAGAGCAGCTGGAGGTGGGCACAGGTTCAAGTGAGCCTACAGGCAACACATTTGGAAGCTGAGAGTTTATGCCTGTGAGTTATGATTTTCTTGGTAAGTATGGAGGTGAAGCCATGAGAAACAGAACAGGTTGAGTTTAAAGGCAGGGTCACATGAAACCTCTTTCTTCCAGGTGTTGGCTTAGGAGTGGTCCTATCATGTCCCCGTGTTTCCTCCACCTGCTAGGCTGCACTGTCTCTGTGCTGCCCTCCACACACTCAGAAGCTTTTTGGATTCTGACTTGAGAGTGGTTTGCAAGAACACCCTCTCTTCCCTCTAATCCAGAATTCTGCCTCCTGGTGCTTCTGAACTGCCTTTGCTGCCAGTCTCTAGGTCTCATGTTTGAGCAGCTGACCATTCCTCAAGTTAATGTAAGTCTTCTCACATCTACTGATAAAGGACATTTTCAACCTTTACTGTCCGTGGGCCTTGTCCCTGGGCTTCCAGGGAAGCTGTTCTTTAACGTTTACCAAGGTCAGAATGGTTTCACCAAACTTCAAAGCATGGGCTCGTTTCTGCGCTGAACACACATTGTACATCTGTGTACATATAGCAAATAACCTAAAAGAAACATTTCAAACTAATGAAAGAGTAAAAAATCTCCCTTAGTTCCCATATCTCCCAAGCCTGCAACCTTGCATATACTAAAAGCATAAGACAAGTTTGTAATTTTCTGGGATGTCCTTCCTCATGATGATTTGTAAGTCTCGATGTCACAAAACACATGTAGGACCCTGTGTTAACACATTCCCTCTCCTGAGCTCTCTACCTCTTGTGAAGCTTGTGTATCCCAGGCAGCTGTCCTCACTTGGGCTCGGATAAAACTCCCTTCCTTTTTTAAAAGAAATTCTAAAACGTTTGTTCATTTGGCATTGACACTGCGACCAACCGAGGCCTCTGGGGTCATGCAGCACCCCAGACATTTACCGTTCTGTTGCTCTGTCTCTAAGCAGACCGACTCGACTTCTTTTCTTCTTCCAGTTTTATTGAGAGATGTATTTGACATGTAACATTGTGTAACTTTAAAGTGTACAACCTGTAGATGATGTACGATCACCACCACAGTGTCAGCTAGGACTTCTAGCACACCACATGATTACCATCCTTGTGTGGTGAGCACATGTCAGATTTACTTGCAGCCACTTTCAAGTATATAATACAGTATTAACTGTAAGCATCATATTGTACATTATACCCGGAGCTTACTCATAACTAGAAGTTTGTACCCTTTGACCAACATCTCCCCTTTTCCATCCCCCACCCCCACGCTGGTAGCCATCTTTCTGTTCTCTGTATGGGTTCAGCTTTTCTAGATTGCTTATGTAAGTGAGATCTCTGCCTGACTTGTTTTACTTAACATAATGCCCTTAAGGTCCATCCATGTTGTTGCAAATGTCAGGATTTCCTTCTTTCTCATAGCTAAGTAATAGTCCACTTGGGATAAATGGATACATATATATGAAACATAAAATATATTTATTTACATATGTATTTATACATGATATATCATATATTATGTAAATATATATTATATATGTATATTATATACATATATTAATGGAATATATAAAGAAAATGTGTATTATATATATATTTATTTTATATGTATTATATATATAATATACATATATATAAGAAGATGTGATATATATATCCATTCATTCCATTCATTTGTTGACTGACAGTTTGTTTCCATATCTTAGCTATTTTGAATAATGCTGCAATGAACATGGGCGTGCAGATTTCTCTTTGACATACTAATTTTAATTTCTTTGGATTTATACCCAGAAGTGGAATTTCTGGATCATATGGTAGTTCAATGTTTAATTTTTTAAGGTTTAATTTTTAAATAATCTCTTAACCAACATGGGGCTTAAACTCACAATCCCAAGATCAAGAGTCACATGCTTCACCAACTGAGGTAGCCAAGTGCCCTCAGTGTTTCATTTTTTTGAGGAACCTCCATACTGTTTTGTGTACCAATTTACATTCCTTTCAACAGTTCATAAGTGTTCCCTTTTGTCCACTTCCTTGCCAACACTTATTATTTATTTTTTTTTTGTAGTATAGTTGACATACAATGTTATATTAGTTTCAGGTGTGCAACAGTGATTGAAAAATTTTATATATTACTCAATGCTCACCACGTTAAGTGTAGTCACCAATGTTATGACAATATTATTGACTCTATGTCCTATGCTGTACTTTTCATCTCTGTGACTCATTTATTTTATAATGAAAAGTTTGTGCCTCTTAACCCCCTTCACCTATTTTGCCCACCCACACCCCCTTTCCTTCTTGCAACCACCAGTTTGTTCTTTGTATTTATGAGTCTGTTTCTGATTTTTCGTTTGCTTGCTTTGTTTCTTAGATTTCACATATGAGTGAAATCATATGGTGTAGAAAACAAAAACACCAATTCAAAAATAAGGATGCAGTCATATGTTTCCTGAAGCATTCAAAACTCTGCCCATTTTTTAAACGACGTGGATGGAACTGGAGAGTGTTATGCTGAGCGAAATAAGTCAATCAGAGAAAGACATGTATCATATGACCTCACTGATAATGAGGAATTCTTAATCGCAGGAAACAAACTGAGGGTTGCTGGAGTGGTGGGGGGTGGGAGGGATAGGGCGGCTGGGTGATAGACATTGGGGAGGGTATGTGCTATGGTGAGCACTGTGAATTGTGCAAGACTGTTGAATCACAGATCTGTACCTCTGAAAGAAATAATACATTATATGTTAAAAAAAAGAAAAAGAAGATAGCAGGAGGGGAAGAATGAAGGGGGGGAAATCGGAGGGGGAGATGAACCATGAGAGACGATGGACTCTGAAAAACAAACTGAGGGTTCTGGAGGGGAGGGGGTGGGAGGATGGGTTAGTCTGGTGATGGTTTTTTTTTTTTTTTAAGATTTTATTTATTTATTTGACAGAGAGAGAGACAGCGAGAGAGGGAACACAAGCAGGGGGAGTGGCAGAGGGAGAAGCAGGCTTCCCGCAGAGCAGGGAGCCGGATGCGGGACTCGATCCAGGGACTCCAGGATCATGACCTGAGCCGAAGGGTGTTATAGGCAAATAATGAATCATGGAACACTACATCAAAAACTAATGATGTAATGTATGGTGACTAACATAACATAATAAAAAAAAGAACTCTGCCCATTTTTTAATTGGATTGTTTGTAATTTTGCTATTGAGTTAAATGAGTTCTTTATGTGTTTTGGATATCAACCCTTACCTGATATATGATTTATGGATATTTTCTCTCATTCAGTAGGTTGCCTTTCTTTGTGTTGATGGTTTCTTTTGCTGTGCAGAAATTTCTTAGTTTGATGTAGTCCCACTTATTAATTTTTACTTTTGTGGCTTATGCTTTTGATGTCTTATCCAAAAAATCTCTGCCAAGACCAATGTCAAGTTGCTTTTCCTGTTTTCTTCCAGTTTTATGGTATCAGTTCTTTAAGTCTTTAAACCATTCTTGTGAGTTTTGTAAGATAGGATCCAATCTCATTCATCTGCATGTGGTTACCCATTTTCCTGACACCATTTATTGAAGAGGCTATCCTTTCTCCATTGAGTCTTCTTGGCTGCCTTGTCAAATATTAGTTGACTGTGTATGAGGGTGTTTATTTCTGGGATCTTGATTCTTTCCATTGGTCTATGTGTCTATTTGTCTGTTTGATTATAGCTTTGTAGTTGGTAAAGGAAATTTTCAACTTTTCATGTCTGTGGGCCCTGCTCCTGGGCTCCCAGGGAAGCTGTTCTTTAACGTTTACCAAGGTCAGAATGACTTGGCAAAACCTCAAAGCATGG